CTCCTCCCCCAATGATGTACCCCAGTTTCCCACGAGCATCAATGACCATCTTGGTTGATTGTGCCCATTCTAGATAATTTGTACCATCAAATTTCACTGTAATAATAATTCCAGACCCAAAAAATATCACTACTACCTCCAACACCCAAACCCATGTTACCAGTGAACTTCTACTCGGTACTCTAGCTCTCCATTTTACTTCAAACAGTTCAAAAGCAAAAAATAATTAGGTAGAGAGCCTCTAAGATCAAATCAATCTCACACACAAAGGTAACAAACCTTTCTGGAAGAAGAAAACCCTATCCGGAGAGAAATCTCTCTCTTCCCATTGTCTCCCACCGGAGAGAAAAGTGAATCTGCCACTCTAGAAGGCCCAGAAAATTCCAGAAAGCTAACCGCCCCCTATAGAATACCTAGAGAAGTCCAACAATAACTAAGCGCCCAAGATCATATCAAAATTAAAGAGTCCAGCTTGACTAGGACTCTTCCCCGCACTCCAGTTCTTCCTGATTTTGATGCCAAAACATAGATCACCCTCCTGATGACTAGACCACACCAAAAAAAACCAAGAACTGGGCAATCTGAAGTAGATCAATCAGCCATTTATCTCCTCATGCAATCGACTGATCTAGGACTGCATGGAAAAAACTTCAAGAAACCCTAGCCTGGCTTTGATACCAAGTAGAAAAGTGTTGAAATAAAAAATCTGTAAAAGAAATGAATATTTCTTGAAGAAGAGAAGAGAAGAGATTTGAGAGAAAAGAGAGCAATAATGCTGGCCGCCCTCTTCACTATTATTTATAGTCTAAAATAATAAAGAGTACAAAGACCAATATGCCCTTATAGAGCAGCTAACACATAAAACAACATAAAACATTTAAAATAACTACTCAAAAAGGACCCAACAAGAGTGTTGTGGTCCCCACTTCCTATCTAAACAATAAATAATAAAAATCTACTACTATAGACTACACAATTTGTCGAAAACCTCAACAACTCTCGAACGAAGAGGAGACTCACTAGCTCAAAACTCCAGTTGCTTCTTCCTCTCAAATCTCATCCAAGCTTTGCAAGTTATATCGTTCCTCTTAGAAGCGGGAAGCTTCAGGACCACTGTGAAATGCGTCGTTGGTTCCGTCCTCATCATCCTTGATCATACGAGCATAATGTTGGACCGGGCACCAACATGTCGACGCTAATATTGCCAACCACAAAAACATCCCTCATTTCTTCAAAAGAAGAAACCCTAAAGTGCTTTAGAGGTCACAAAGACCAGCATATCACACCATAGAGAATCCAATAGACTATGAATAGAACGGTTCTGCCTCTCAAATCCCATTCTTCCCTCTCACTTGATCCCTCTCTCTCAGTCAATCTCTCTACCTCTTCTCCACTCCCCATCATTGTCGTCATCTCCGCCCCATTCTCTGCCGTTGCAACTGATGTAAAACAGAGCACCACTAGCATCAAAGCAACTACTCCATTTCTGCTCCATTGCTAATTATTAAATATTTTTCATTGCTTCATGGAATTTATTTGTAATTTTGAATATTATTTTAATTTTTAATAACTTATTTTAAATTTTAAATTATTTATATTTTTTTATTTGTATTAATTATTAAATATTTTAATTTTTATTAATTATTAACTATTTTATTACTTTTTAAGATATTATTTTGCTAATTATTACTTTTTCATTGCTTCATGGAATTTATTTGTATTTTTCAATATTATGTTGATAATAATAAATTATAATTTTTATTCATATTAAAAATTAAATATTCTATTATTTTTATTTTTTATTCGTATTAATTATTAAGTATTTTATGAAATAGTGCAAACTGAACTCAAAATTACCAAATAGTTTGTTCTATTCTAGGGGTAAAACAGTAAAATCAAGCAATTTCAGATGAGTTGATCCAACACAAAAACCTTATCTATTCAGAGCCTCTAAAAAGTATAAAGGCATCTATGCTGCTTTTCAGATTTCAGACATAATATCTTTTTAACTTTTCAGATTTATCAAATGCCATTCATGAATTACTACCATGTACTTGGCAAACAACATACAACAAACTATGCCCTCCTACAAATGCCTAGTTAGCTCATCCAAACAAACATCTGATAACAACTAGTTATAAGAAAGTAGAGACCTAAGGAACCTCAATTACCATTTTCATTTATTCCTATATTGAACCTTAAGTGAAATTCGGAAATAACCAAAAGTGCCCCTAAAATTATAACCACTGGTGCAATCAAATTATAATTTTTTTCCCAAAATCCAAAATGTTATTTTTTGGATTGGTAAAAGGATTGGCACATTTTGAAATGTTGGAATTCTGAGGGAAAGATGGTAAAATTATCATAGATCTCAAAAAGATCTTCCAGCAAGTTAAAGAGATAATCAATAATCCAACAGAAAATGAAAAACTCATGCTCATTAGAAGGTTGGAAAGATAGCAAATCTAATTACCGTTTTCCCATTGCAAATAAACAATGATTATTCCAATTGCAGATTTTTGGAGTATTTGCAAAGCACAGAATAAACAGACATTTGAATCTCTAATGAGAATATGTAAGGAGATTTACTCATACTTCATGGATGTGACTTCAATTTCCGGAAAAAAAAATAAGGGCATGAGAACCCCCTCCCCCCCCCCTCCCAAAAAAAAAAAAAAAGTACCAGACATCAAGTATGAAACAGAGTAACCACCATAAGAAGGCCTTGAAATACATGCAAAAAATATTAACGAACCACTAGTGCCATAATCAAACTTGAGTTTTGCATTCACTAATAACCCCTCACTGCAAATAGCAACTCGTTAGGGTTAGGTGGGATTTACAGATCATTTGGTCACAAATGTTTACCCACTCCATGAAATCTCCCTATCAACCTCCCTTCTAATAATATTTTATGGTACAGTACAACCATAAAAGAAAAAGAAATATTTTTCATCAGCAGAGATGAAAGAATCATAAATAAACAAATAATTGAGAACCAACCATATAAAGATGTAGACCTTAAGATTCAAAATAAAAAAAACTATCCTAGAGGATCTAAATAAAAAGAATTTAATTTACTTAAGAAAATAATTGTCAATGACATTGATATAGACAAGTGAAGTATATGGTGTACATGACAGAAAAAGCAATTTAGGAATTAAATCATTTCCTATAGCATGATTGCAGAACCAAACAGCTAGAGGAAAGGTTGTATACTTAAGCATTAGTTTCAAGAAGAGCAGAGACAGTGATACTGTTAAGAGAGTGGTTGTTGAATTGTTTCATTTAGTTGCCACTTTAGTTTATTTACAATTTTACATCTGGGCTATATGTCTTTTTCTTTTTATTATTTAAATGGGGGCAGAATTGTAATCTTTCTATTGGCTATTGGATTATAAATAGGGGTGTGGCTAATTGGGAGACTAGTTTTCTCTCCAATTGGTACTTGGTAGTTTTATTTTTCTCTAAAACCTGCTGTTCTCTTCTTCCTCTTGCTTTCTTATTTCTGAGTACCATGTACAGAACTTTGTGTAGATACTTGATCTACCCAAAGGTCAAAGGGCAGAAAATATTAACTTCTTGGGAAATTCTATAAATCTAGTTTCACTTTTAAGGTATGGTACAAATGCAAGTGGTATGTTTTAATATTAATGGATTTTGTCTGGAAATGCATTTTGTTATTCATGCATGCATGGACTCCCCTAAATGGATGATGTCTCTGACTCTCTATTTGGGACACATCTCAGAGTCAGACACTCCATTGATTCTTGAGGACACTTCTATGTAACATTTCCTATCTCCTAGCTTATTTGACATAAATGAACAGCTAATGTACAAGAGGAATGCCAATTTTCATATTAAACATTACATGGTAACAAAAGCAACATTTTTTTAAAGGTATATAATATTAGAATTAAAAAAAAAAACATCAATAGTATATATTTTTCCATAACATGTGTATAAGTCCATGTTTTCTCATCTTGCCAAGTCAGACACTTGGACACATGTCAGATTCCAACTCCATTGTCAGTTTCCATGCAACAATAACATATCTCCATCCTCATTTTCTTGATATGCCCCTGGGGTTCTCTCCACACATTTTGTCACTAGCAAGTGGAAGGATGTCCAATTAAAGTGATGGACTACTGAGGTTGTCCTACATTGACTAATCTTATCTATGATAGACTAAAATTATGCATAAAGCTGATGAGATGGGCTAAAGGATTTGATGACCAAAAACCAATTAAATAAATCAAATTCAAGAAAACCCAACTCCTAACAGGGATGCTGAAAAAGAAACCCATGAATCAGTGCAAAAATTCATTCACAAGAAGTCATAGAAGATATTGGTTGAAAGGTCAACCAATGGAAAGCATGACAAAGAAGGACCCCTCTGTGTACTAAAATACAGTAATAACCAATAATTATCACAACTACGTAAGGATGGTCCTTACAGTGCATTCATTACAATTCTGGAGATTTATCTACAATAGATTAACCTTATTATTTTTGCAAATAATATGGACCTAATAAATAATACATTCTTACTGACCCATTAATCTTATAATTTAATATTATAAGCAATCAGAATCTCAGGTTTGATGGGTTATATCATGAAGTACTTCTCCATCTCTATCAAAGAATAACATTTCCTATAAGTTCAAAAGTCTATACCTATTAAACTTCAATTCATCATAAGCTTCATGAATACGATAAACCAACTTGAAAGGGGGAAGAAAAGATGAAGGTTTTGACAATGAAATGAAAGGTCAACAAATGAACCAGCATATAAGTGGTAAAAAACAAACTGGTTAATAAAGGAAAAGAAATGCAAGACAATTCAAAATCATTACACAAGGGAAGGATGGTAGGATAAATCCAAGATATACTACAAGAAAAGGAACAAATAAGTAAATGCTTAAGTCACCAAGGTATGCATCAATTCAAAAAAACAAAATTACAGCTATCAAGTTATGTATATGTTCTGAAATGATTACCTTGATTTTAAGTAAAACATGCTTATCATCCTAACTATGAGAGACCATAATCTAGTTTCCACACAACCAACATCTTCAATTGCTTCCTGCATGTTGCTTGTAGAAAGACAGGCTCTAGAATGTGCTTTAGTTTCAGCATAGATTCTTTCATATGGTTTATTGAAGTTGAAACTGACCTCCTTAGACAGAGAATTAAAATTACAGGACCTATTCTGTAGGATCAAAAAGGCAGTTATTGAAAGTCATTAGCAAGATGAGAAAATAGACATTTTGAAATGAAAAGGACAACACTAAACAACACAACAAGTAGACAAAAATTTACCTTCTCAAACAGTAAAATCAGGTTATTCCAGGCATCAGGGAAAGGCTCCTTAACAGCCAGACTTCTTACACAATGATACAGTGCTAGGAACTCATCACTAACATATATTGCCAGTACAGCAAACTGAGAGTAACATTTATAAAAATGGTGAACCCATCTTACAAGAAGTAAATATAACAATAAAAACAACATTGTCTGAAGGGGAAAGAAACTTAAATGTCTCAAGGAAGATGACAAAATATCAACAGTATGTGAATTGAATGAAAAAGAACTGACAAAAAAATACCTGATTATGTGGGTTTCCACTATCTGGCCAAATCATAGATGCATTTAAGTAGTGGGTGGCTGCAATTGACCAATCACGTTTTTGATCATCTTGATTTCCACAAAGTTCCCTGTATCGAGCAAGGTCCCCGAGATAGATCAAACAACGGTGGCATGAAAATCTGCATCTGCAAATTTGTGTCGACTCCACAGAACTGGAAGAACAACCTTCATTGGAGTAAAAAAGTTCCTTTGGAAGTCCATAGCTTCTTTTGATTTTTGTGATCAAATCTTGGTAAAATTCAGTAGCTTCTGACAGGAATAACCTAAACCCTTCCATGAGTTTATCGCTGCTATGTTTTTCAATAGCAACATTTTGTGGTGCCACCGAGTTGATAGTTTCTGCATTGACAGAACTTTGCAGTATTCTATTACGATATTCATCAATATGCTTATAGTGAACCCGCCACAGAGAATATTCAATATCTTGAAGCTCTGCCAGTTCATGGTCAGTCAAGATGATTTTCTCATAGATAGAGCGCACTCTATGGTATAATACCCGAACATCAGGGTGCAACAGACCCTTTGAATGGATCGATGTCCATAATTGTTTTTCTGCATCAACAGCCTAAAGAAAAAGTTTTCAAAATCAGATACCATATAGATCCTCTTACAAATTTAAAAGACAAATTCTATCACATAACATGGGAAAGTCATGACCAGTTTTAACTTCAGGAATCACCTCAACAATAAGATTAATAGTTCCATTTTCATCATTGTGAGGACTTGTTGCATTAACATGCATTGAAGTCATTAAGTAGATGAACCTGTTCAGTGGAACCTTGTAGACCTAACATGCAACGTTGAAGTGGCTTCTGCAGCACAGTTACTTCTTCAAACACAGATCATAGGATCAATTCAATCTACTCATTGATGATGAGGAAAGAATGCTGAATCCAGAGAGAACCAATCAACTATTCTGCATTTCAGTCTGAAGATGATCTACCAAAAAGAGACAAATGTTAGTCAATGATGTCATTCATCAAAAAATAAAAGATCATGAACTAAAAAAAGATCTGAAAATTTTTGCATGACTTGGTGATAATGTTGAATGATATCTCAAAAGTATTAGATGCCACATGCAGACATGCTCCAGCCACACATGGAAAGCATTAAAAGTTGTGTGTGCATTCATTACTATGAATGTTGGAAAACAAATTCTGAATTATAACAGAAACTTCGATTAACATCCAAAGACATTATGTGTGTTCAAAAATATCACAGTTTTGAGCAGCATAAGTTAGCCCTGATTTTTTGGTAAGTTATCCCTCTCTTTTAGAAGATGCTACCTACTTTTTTCTATTTTGTATACATAGAATATCAAAGAAGCAACTCTTCTGGTATGGCTAGATGGCTACAGTAGCAGCCTCCTATGCCTTGATCACGGGACACCAGGAAATGTATGGGCCAAGTTCACAAATAATAACACATTAGACTCCATATAATGCTACTGATGTTCAGTATTCAAGGCATTAGTAGCCACTATGGAAAGAAGTTTACATTACAGTCACATTGGTATGCCTCATGTACGAATTACATAATTTAAATCATATGCCAACAAAAATCATTTAGAAAAAGAAAAGACTAAACTATGTGAAAAAATCAACCTTTCCTTCACAGTGAAGGATTATCATTTCTTTTGCAACACTTGGCGTCAAGCTGATGAATAGATACCAATCCTGCTGATCTTGTTTATAATGACTATTTAAATCACCTCAATTAGTGTAATTTTTAGTAGGTTGGCCTTTAAACCTTGTATAAGGAGTAAAATTTCTTCTCATCTGTAGCCCTTCCTCCTCCCAAAATGATGGAAGGCCATCATTTGTATAACTCTCCGATAAGACAAATATGTGGACAAGATATGAAACGTAAGCTAGTTATCATAAAACATCTGCCAAGCTGTCTGATTTACAACTTCAACTTTTTTTTATGAATTTCCAACATCAACCTCACAAAGGAGCCTTTTCAGCTACATCGACCTCACAAAGGAGCCTTTTCAGCTATGCTGACTTATAAGCTAGATGTACCACAAATCTCAACCCTTTCTCTGGCTTCAACCTTCCAAACATAGAATGTATCTTAATCTACTTATGTTGAAGTGCTCTAGTGATCCAGTTTCTTTTCCTCGTGCTTCATAGAATCATAGTTATTATTAGATTTGTTGTAATTGGAAAAATGAGTAACCTGTCCATGTTGAAATCGGTTATTTGTTAACTTTCCAAGACAGTGCGGAGTCAAGTAATTGTATGCCTCAAGTGCATGTTTTCTAAGACCTTCACAAATGGTAGATATGCACTTAACTCAAATTGTTCTAATTGATAAGAAATGGTTCTTGGAGTGAAATTGTTAGATAAGAAACTCGAGAGCCATGTGAGCCAATTCTGCAGTTCAAGGAAGAGTTGCATTGCCGAAAATAAGAAAACTATATTACAGACATTTTACTTGGGAAGCTTTCCATATTTATTAATAGAGTATCTATCATTTATTCCAGTAACCTGAAATTAAAAGGTCCAGTTTGCTGCAACATTCGCAACCCAACTAAAGCCCAATTCATCGAAAGACTCTAATACAAATGAATTGTACTCGACAACGTAGCACTTAAAAGCAGCAAGAATAGCTTTCAGAATTAATAACGCAACCTTATAGAACATTAATCAAAACCAGCCAAAGGGATAAAACACAGAAAGAAGCACTGTGGAGAGCAAATACCGAGAGTACCCAGTTCAACAATTCAACCAACAGCCATGAACTTCTCTACTAAAAGAACTATAAATTAAAAACACAAAGACCCTAGAAAACAAAACCTTTAAAAAGACCCAGATCAAAGAAACAGCTAAATTATTACCTAATATAAATAAATAAACGGAACCTAGTAATAATATACCTGAACGCAGTGCCTTCTGGGCTTCTAGGCTTCAAGAACACAAGAATTCTCGAAAACCCACATCAGGGATGATAATTCAAACTACACCTAGTGATGCCTGATCTTAAAAGCAATAAGTTAATAGCTTCCCCACCTCCGTTTTCACTTTTCAGCTTCAGAGTCCCAAGCTCCAAACTCCAGCCAACAAAAGAAGACTAGTACACACTGCACAGACAGAGAGAGGAGAAGATAGACTCGGCGTGAAGAAATGGAGTTGCCTAAAAAATACAGATTGGGCCAGGGACGCTACCTTGCTGTGAGATGGACAAAAGAAAAGGTGACGGATGAGGAGGGGATTGAAGACTATCTACCCTTGTTTGTCGGGCGAGAGACGATCGTGTAAACTGTAAAGCGACATCCATCGGACGATGACTTACGCGGACATCATCCCTTGTGTTTTAAGCTAGTAATCTCATCTACCCTCATCTCTCTCTCTATTCCAATTTTTTAGTACAGAGAGAAGGTGATTCGATGCTTCTCTATACACCGTTGAAGTTACATCGTAACTGTTTCGTCCGTATTGATGATGTTAGCTTTGTCTCCGAATTGTACGGCCCCCCGTGATTCTTGGTTTCGGGGATTGGGGGCTCGTGGCCCCATCGCATGGGAATTATTTTTTGCGTTTTGTCTTTGGTGGGTTGGTGGCTGTTTGGGCCCGGGCCGATATTTTTGAACCTGGACCAGATGGCAGACGTGGTGTTGGATAAGATTGGAAATGTCCAGCCCGGGCCTACCAAGCGTCTGATCTTGATCAACCGTGTGAAATCCTTTGCCTGGATGGGTCGGAAATTCAACGGTGGGTCCCACGAGTCAGCATGGACCACATTTTTAAATTCTGGAATTGGCGTGGGTGGGGAAACTTCATAATTGATGTTGATACAAAGCAGATTTTTTTTCTTTTTGCTTGTTTTGCGGCTTCTAGAAACAGAATTCCATATAGTTTTTGACGGAAAATACCTAAAATTATGTAAATACATGTGGTTAGTAGGGCAGTATTTCCAAACCGCCGTAGATCCGGATGTTCGAACTGTCACCTGGTTATAATTTCGAGTCCGACTTTTTTAAAACCTATAATTCTTTATAGAAAGACCATTGATTTGCGTAATATTCATTCGACCCCGGGTTACAAAGATTAAAAGATATTGAAAATTTTTAGAATTTGTTGCTGTCTAAGATGGGTGGAGGGCAACAAAGTTAATTTCGTTTCCGAGTCGAGTGATGGCCGAAGAGTCTGAGGTTTATTGTGGCCGAGGGTTGACAGGTTAGACCTGTTAGACCTGTGAAAGAGACTCCAACGATCAAATTAATTGAGTCAGAGACTCCAACGATCAAATTAATTTGAGGGTAATAGGAGGTGAACGAGGCTTGAGTAAGGAATGGCTATAAGCGGCCACACAAGTAGCTGGAGAGTTCTTAGTAGTACAAAGTCTAGGTGTCTACCTTGAGAGGGTTACCCCCTATTTATACTTGAGGTCGTCTGGAGGTAGGTGTGCTTGGACGGTCAGGATGCAGTTCGGTCCTGAGGAGCACGGCCATCCGAAGCCACCGCGCCATTGGCCCTGCATCGTGTGCCGACCTCTATTTTGCATGCACCCTTATTGGGTCCACCTTGAGCGTTGTCATCTACCACACGCGTGCGTGCTATTGGTCTGGGCCATGTGCGTCTACATCATTTGCCCCCCACTCTCGAGGTTGTGGTGGAGGTCTAAGCTAAGAACCTCGGCTTTGGGCGAAGAGAGTGCGTCATCTTTACTGGGAGGCATCGATGGGCCTTGCTGATGAGGGCCTCGGCCTCAGCCAAAGAGGGTGCCTTGTCTTAACTGAGAGGCACTGGTGGGCCTTCCTTGTCAAGGGCCTTAGCCTCGGCTTCGACTTCGGCTTGTTGAGGATGCACTTAGTATTGGTTGCAGTGGTGTCGACTTGGTCTTCTCTCTTCCTTCCAAGGAATGTCGTGGAGCCTTCTGCTTTGCGGAGGCCTCGGCCTCGGCCTCTAAGAGTTCAGGCATGTATCAGTTGTGGGTGTGAGGCAGACTTGCCCCTATCTTGTACTCTGATGGGCCCAGTCAAACCTGTGAGAGGCATCGGCTTCGGTCGATGATTGCCGAGGATGACACTTGGTGACGGGTGGTCATGCATTAGTTGTGAGTAAGACGGGTCTGACTAGTGGCAGACCGTGAGCCGTGTGGGGGGCGGGCTCATGGTCAGGACCATGCACGGGATGGGTTGTTGTGTTGTGTTCGTAAACAAGACGGGCACCAGGCCTACTAGGTTGCGCTGCTTCCAGTTCAGGATCGTTGGGCGAAGTAGACAACACGGCGAGCAGACTAGTTGGCTCGCCTGACGTCATTTCGTCTTCCTGAGGCGAGCGACGTGTGTTGGTCGCCTGACTGGGTCGTGGAGGTAGTCGCTCCGTGGCCATTGGATTGGAGGCGATTTGGGCCATCCGTTTTCCTTTAAATAGGGGACTTAGTCGCATTCCCCCCACCATTTGCTTCAAAGCGTTGTTGCTCTCAAAGACCTCGCCTTTCCTTTAGAGTTCCATAAACCTCGTATTCTTAGGTAAAGAACCCTTTTGTAGCTATGTCTTACTCAGACTCCGGCCTAGAGTGCTATGAATTCCCAGATCCCTCGGGAGTGAGCATCTTCCGAAGTCCGTCAGCTGCTAGCAGTAGTGGAGACTGCTCATGTGAGCCCGAGGACCTAGCTCCGAGGCCTGAGGTCGAGGTGTGAGGGAGATGACTGCCTCTATAGGCACTGAAAGCAGCCGAAGGGGCGATGACTCCCGATGAGAGTGCCAGATCTACGAGGCCTAGGGAGGCCGAGGGGTCCCCGGGGTCACCTAACGTGGACGAGAGTGAGGAAGTCCCCAAGCTTAGTCCTAAGTTAGTGGCCGAGTACATGGACCAAGGGGTGTCAATAGGACGCCTTTCACACTCAGAGCAGGATAGCATCCTCAGCTTCAAGCAGGTGAAGAACCTAGCTAGGAAGTACTATATCCCTCGGTCTTATAGGCTTAGGGTTTCCAACACCGATGATCGGTTGTGGACATCGGAGGAGGGGGAAATCTGTGTTTACTAGAACTTCTTAGAGTTTGGCCTTAGGTTTCCCCTCTATCCTCTCATCCCCAAGTTGTTGAGGTGGTATGGCATCTCAATTAGTCAACTGGTCCCCATTAGGACTATTATCGCAGTGCTTTTGATGGCTTGACTCCGAAATGTGGAGCTAACCCAGAAAATATTCCGTGCCATGTTTGTGCCGAGGCCACACCCTCGTGAGGGGGGTATATACTACTTCTAGGCTCGACAAGGCTGAGTTGTTGACAACCCCTTGTCGGTACATGGTTGGAAGAACAATTTCTTCTTTATCTCCTGTCTTGAGTGTTGGTCGTTCAAGTCGGGTTAGGGGAGCGTGCTTGCCTATCGAGAAGGCCAAGGTCTTTCTTTAGGACGATGAAGCCGAGGTGGTTACCTGCATTCGAGTGTCGAGGATGATCTGGGCCAAGCCCCTAGTGGAGGAAGAGCTTCCTTTGGTTTTTGTTGGGCCCAGTCCCGCCTGCCTCGATAGGGGAGTTCCGGTTGTCGACTCTTAACATGTCGACTCTCTTTTCTTTTTTGAGGTACTGACATGTGCTTTGCTTCCCTTCAAAGATGATGATCGACACAAAGCAGATTCTCTTGGAGAAAGCTAAGTCGAAGAAGAGGATGTCGGGTGATGGACCTTCACAAAGGCAGGTGCCATAGGAGGTGGTGCCTCGGCTGCCTACCCTAGCTAACGCTAGGGGTGACCGAGGGAAGAGGCCGGACGAGGGAGACTAGCACCGGGAGACTAGCTAGAAGAGGTCAAGTGATCTGCCTCAACCATCCGCAGGGAAGAGGCCAATGCAGAGGGACCGCCCAACCAAGGGCTATCAGCGAGGAAGAGAAGGGAGCAACATGCCGAGGGGGCCTCCAGGAAAGGAGGTCGCAAGGACACCTCATCCATCGGCCCCTCACCCTTCAGTCGAACCACAAGGTGAGGGGCAGTTAGTCACAAGGTAGACATTCCGCCATCATCGGGAGGTGAAGGAAGGGGATTCTCTCGACACTTGGAGCGTCGGGAAAGCCCTTGTCATGGGGATGATCCCTCCTAGGGATCGAATGGCCATGGTGAACAAAGGGTACCCCCACCTTCGAGACCTTGCGCTACAACATCTGGCCAAGGTACGTTGTCTTGCTTGATTGCCTTAGTGAAAAATCTTTCTTTTGCTCCAGGCTACTGATGATGGTTTTTTTGTTTTGGCGACAAGGTGGAGGTTCTTCACCAACACTTGGTGAGCTTCAAGAAGAAGAGGGAAAGGTTGGAGGTGCGAGTCATCGAGGTAGAGTGTGGCAGGGATACAACTGTCTCGGTCGTGAATGATGAGAAGGAGCTGAGAAATGCTGAAGGAGGACCTTAAGGCAAAGAAGGCCCTTATGACTGAGCTTAAAGAGGCCTTAAAGAAGTTCGAGCTGGAGCGTGTCCGCCTCGACGAGGCCCTAATGGTGGCTCAGGCGCGAATGGCAGAGGCCAAGGAGAGGGCTAGGGACATCGTCGCCATCTGGAAGTCGTCCGTCAAGTACCAAGAGGCCCTCACTAATTATGGGGCCGACTCCTACTTGGAGGGCATCGAGGACGCTATGCTTCAGATGCTAAATTTGATGCCCGACTTCCCAGTGGACAAGCTAGGAGTGCTAGAAGCTGAAGTCCCTTCGGCTCCCGTCACTGAGGATCTAGTTGCTCCTACTACCGAGGACCCAGCCGTTGAGGTTGCCGAGGTCCCTGCTTCACCGTCGAGGATGCTGCATAGGCTGTTCTTTTTTTTCTTCTTTCTTTCTTGTTTGTAATTTTGTCAAGTTACTTTTTTGTAAAGGGCTCGACCTCCCCATCTAAGGCCAATTTTTTGCAAAGCACAATAGTCAAACTTAATGGAATATACTTTTTTGCGTAACTTGTGCCTATATTGTCTGTTTCTTGCACTTGTACTTTTTTTGTAGAGGAGTCAGTGCCTCGTTTCGAAGGATCACAAGTAGCAAAGTAGTCAATCGAGGTGGCTCACCACTTAGTCACTTTGCTTAGTAAGTTAAAGAAGTTTAATCGAGGCCTAGCTATGCTGCTGAGGTGTTAGGGCCCCTTTCCCTTGCGAGAAAGGAAGGGAGGCGAGTGCCTTAGCTTTATTGGCTCGTTCTCCACCCCACTAAGATTGGTCGGGCGAGGCTGAGTCAAGACGCTGGGGTTCCGAGGTCGTGGTCAATCTGGTCGAGGATGAGGGGCGCTTCCTACTTGGTGAAGTACCTAGATTAGTTTCAGTGTGTTTGTTCGTGGTAGGCCGAGATCGTTAGCCGATGCTTACAGCCGAGGTCTCCATCATTCTTTGCCTTAGCATGAAGGCGAAGTGGAAGAATGGT